TACACCACACTGGCTCTCATGCTTTGTCCCTTCTCTTTGATGGAGATGGGAGGGTGTTTGAGGAGGGATGCCTTAAGAGCAGTTGTGGACAACCTCTGGCCCGCCAAATGTTGCTGAACACCCATGAGTCCCAGCAAAGGGAGTTGTAATTCAGCAGCTTCTGGGGGGCCACAGATTTCTCACACATGCTGAAAGGGATAGGAGAGGGGGAAAGCTGCCTCACACCTGTTACTGCAAGCATGGAGAACTCAGGTGTTGGGCTCCAGCTTCAACCAACATGGGATGATTGGACTTGTCACTAGCAGCAGCTGCAGAGACATGAGGTTCTCCATGCAGAATTTTACTTGCAGAACGCATACTACAGCCAATATGTCCATTAGGTTCAGTTATCTGCTGGTGTTCTCCAGAAATGGTTCCCTGCTTACAGAACAAAGGTTCCTTCTCATGTCCCCTTGCTTACATTGATTTTAGAAAGTATACTTTCACATGAGCCTTGACAGCTGTAATCTCACATCAGCATTCAGAATTCCACACAATGCACCCATCTATCAAGGGGGCAAAAGAATAAGCATCTGCCATGCCAATTTTTTCTCTCCAGATTAGCTATTTACTGACACTGAAATGCTAACAATGTCTCAGATACATTATCATCACAATAGTTTAGTTTATCTCTAGGAGTATATACTCAAGCTGTAAAATATCAACCATTATGGCTTAAACAGCGTGCTTTATGCAATGCTAACCAATTTGAGAACTGAAAGAATTGATTTATGTGCTATTTCAAAGGAGTTATTCCCGTTTACTAGGGTTGCCATCTCCTGGCCTGTAGGGAAGTTTGCTTTCTTCCCTCTTCTTAATAACTGCAGCTCAACTATCAAATGAAGCTTTGCCCATCACAGCTCTGCATTGTTGTGTGGAAAATAACCACTCCTGCGTATGATTGTAATAATTGTGCAGAATCTAATAGGTGCCCCTGCACTCATGAAAGGGCTTCTGAGCTGACAGAAGAGGAGTGGAGTGGAGTTTTGCCTATTCCTCCTTTCTACTGCATACCCCCAGGCCACCTTCCACCCTTTTCTGGATTATTTCCCAAACTCTCATGAGCTGAGTTTTGGAGGGCACTGGTTGCCGCAGGGAGGAATAGAAAATCAGTGAAGGTTGCTTCCCCACTCTTCCATTACCAGAGGAATCTGCTGGATCAAATGTCATTCTGCAGCCACTAAGTGGATTCCACGCATGGTGCAACTGAGTAAAGAATTGGGTCCATTTAGTTCAGCTTTGTACTTCCAGCTGTGGCAAATGACATGCCCCTGAGTCAGGTGTAGTCAGGGTGGTGACCTCAAGATGTTCTTGGACTCTTGTCTTGACCCCATCTGTGTAAACCCATCCAGGTAAGCTGCAGTGATGTCAGGAGAACAGCTCCACAGCTCCATCCTGCCACATGGGCTGCTACTGATATTTTTTCCTGCAAGAAAATATGGCTACCTTTCTGGAAAGACTTCCTTTTGTGCCCCTTGCCCATTATTTCCCCATTCCTTCAGGAGAACTTCTTTGCTCACAGCCTATCTCGTTGGGAATAGTAGTTACTCTCCACTTTAAGATTCCAAAGGCACACTAGATCTCCCACTTGTATTTTATAATACAACATCTTGACCCCTGTTCCTTTGTCACTTTTATTATTTTTCCAGGGATTGATCATTATGGCCCTATCTGACTAGGAAGGTAAAAACGTGAGTTCATGAAACAAATCACAAGATTTTGCTGCCTAAATAATATTCTCATTTTAAAGAATCATTTCATTCATATTTAATAATAATAAACAATGTTTTTTAATATTTATATGCTGCCCATCGGACTTGGTTTCCCCAGCCACTCTGGGCTGCTCCCAACAAAATAATAAATGCATAATAAAACCTCAAACATTAAAAAAACTTCCCTGTATTTAACTCACTGTATTTCTTTTACTTAATATGCCCATGCAATTTAAACAAGTTGGTTTCTTCAGTGGCAGATATTTGGGCACATATCCCAAACACTAACAGAGTTTTGAAGCTTTAAAATCAAATTTTGAAAACTAGCCATGAGTTGATAATTTGTTTTCTGTGTTCAGCCTGATGTCCTGCTGACAGCACCTTAAAATTGGCCAGGAGATGTTGTCATATCCAATTTTTTGAAAAGTGCCGTTTCTGAACAATAGAACAAAACCAATATTCCAACTAGATCAATGTTTTTCACATTTGTTGGGCGGCAGTGAGGGGGAAAGGTCCTCGATTAAATTATTGGGGATTGAGAGGACACACCGTGACAGACTAGCATTCAAGAGAAACAGTTTTTCCACACCAAATGAATAGCCCCTAAAATGCAGAGAGTCAGCAAATAGTTGTGTGCGCTTAGGAAACAACAGTGAGTTTTGGACCATTGGCCATGGAGATGATAGCAGTTGTAGTCCAAAACATCTGGAGGATAGCAGGTTGGGCAAGAGAACCGAGTGTTGTGCCCTAAAACACTTCCCAGAATCCTTTGCAGCTTGCTGGTAAGCAGAGGCTCATCAGCCAGCAACCCCCACGTGAAAATCCACCCAGGACAGCACTTTGTAGGGCACAGTGCTTTTGCTGAAATCACAAGTGGGAAGAGATTTTTTCATTCATACTGCAATAATACACGTGATTCTTCTGCATGGTGCAACCTCACCAGGAGGGTCAACACTAGGATGGATCCCGAAAAAACTTTTGTACCCATTGAAATTTCACCACTTGGCAGAATGCTATGGATAACCAGCTTATCTAAGCAATTCTTTGCATGGCAAATTGTGGACACCAGTGATCTCTCTCTTGTGGCTCCATCTTACATTCAATGAATTCATTTCAGGACACAGAAGACAACATAAATAACCTTACCCCACACTTCTCACTGATAATATACCTAAGTTCCATCTCTTCCTTTTCAGCAGGTTCAGCTTGTACCTAAGGGCCTAGTTCTCACCGAGGTGGAAGATGTGTTTCTTGACTGTACAACTTCAGAGCATAGCTGAATGACTGAATGCTCCACAAGAAAGACTCTTCCCACAAAGAAAATGTGGGTGCCTCACCCCTCACCATCCAGATATTTGTTTGGAGATATTTGTTTCCTCTCCCTGTGGAACTTCATTCAGCCAAGAAAGCACATGTGGTCTGAAATGTTACACCTGGGACTAAAGTTGACCACCTCAGGGCCAAACAAGGCATTTGCTGGATAGTATGTGGCAATGAATACCTCAGATTTTGTTCTTGTTACAGTTGTGGAGTGAGAAATCCATATGGAAAACATAGTGCATGAGGAAACTTATCTCTCAGATAAGGGGCCCAGCACTTTTGCTGAAATCTTAAGTGTGATTGAAACTGACCCCTCTCCCTGCACATGATGAGCAGATCCTACACATGTCCCCATTTTCCAGGGACAGTCCCAGATCTACAGAAGCCGTCCAGTTTTCTGACTTGATCCTGAAATGTCCTGCTTTTTCTTAGAATGTCCCTATTTCCATCAGAGAAATGTTGGAGGGTATAGCAGGATGTCCCTGTGTTCATTGGAGAAACAGTGGGGGGTATGGAGTTATGTGACCCCTCAGCCAAGGAGAGAGGTAACTATACAAACTTTACAATACATTTGAAGGCAGCCCTGTATAGGGATTCCCCCCCCCCCAATGTTTAATGTTTTGTTGTGTTTTTATATATTTTGAAAGCTGCCTGGAGTGGCTGGGGCAACCCAGTCAAATGGGTGGGGTAAGAATAAAACAGCAGCAGCAGCAGCATAGGACGTCCCTATTTTCATGGGAGAAATGTTAGCGGGGATGGAATAGGACACCCCTATTTTCATCGGAGAAACCTTGGAGGATATGGAATAGGGAAAATGTTGGAGGGTATGGAATAGGACATCCCTATTTTCATGGGATAAATATTGGAGAGAATGGAATGGAACGTCCCTATTTTCATCGAAGAAATGTTGGAAGGTATGCATGAATGTGTCTAATCCTCATTTAAATATACCTGTCTTCCAGCATCTCACTACTACCCTCATCTTCGCAGCATCTACTGCCTGGGATGACTGCCCTCTGTTCTCCCTAATGGTAGGGAGACCCTGAAATTGTAGCAAGGATTGGCAAGAGTGGAGAATCTTGGATGACATGGAATAGGACGTCCCTATTTTCATCGGGGAAATGTTGGAGGGGATGGAATAGAACATCCCTATTTTCATGGGATAAATATTGGAGGGAATGGACCGGACCCTCCCTACTTTCATCGGGGAGATGTCGGAGGGTATGGAACCTCCAAGTATCCCTATTTTCTAGGGAGTTCTGGATCCGCAGAAGCCATCCCATTTTCTGACTTGATCCCAGAACGTCCCACTTTTCCTTAGGACATCCCTATTTGCATGCGAGAAATGTTGGAAGGCACGTCGAGGTCTCCAGAGGGGTTGTGGATGGGCTAAGAAGACAGGGCTGACCCCTCAGCGCCCACCCCACACCGTCCCTCTGCGCGCGCCCCCCCCCCCCACTGACCACGGCCTCTGGCGCTGACCGGCTGCCTCCCTGACCCCCACCCCCGCCCCCAGGGCTCGGTGATGTCACATCCGCCGGTCAGCCCTGCGCAGCGCCCGCTTGGCTCCGCGCTCTTCGGAGTCAGGAGGGGACCGGCAAACTTTTCTTCTCCCGCCTTTCCCCCCCTGGCAGGGTGGGCTGGCTGCTGTGACGGCGGAGGGAGGAGGCGGCGGAGAGGCGGCTGTGGCGGGGCGTGCGCGACGCGGCCCGCCCGCTTCCCCCTGCCCTCTCGCCGGCTGGCTCTCTCCATCTCTCTCCCTCCGCCTGGACTGGGCGCCCCCTCCCGCCGCCGCGCTCCCTCCTCGCTCCGAGAAGGATGCCTGCGGAATGAATGAGCGTCCCCCGGGCTGCTGCTGCTGCTGCCGCCGCCTCCCGCTGCCGCCTTCTCCTGGCTGTGGCAGGCGGGCGTGCAGAAAGTGGCACTGACGAGAGGGGTCCCTGCAGTGACTGATGAAGGAGAGGCTGAGCAGGGAGGAGGAGGAGGAGAAGAAGAAGAGGAAGAAGAGGAAGAGCAGCAGCAGCAGCAGCAGCCCAGCAGCCCCGGGAGCAGCATGCAGCCCTCCGCCAGCATCCTCAACCTCTTGCTCGTGGCTCTCTTGGCCGGCTTGGACCCTTCCAAGGTAGGAGATGCAGGAGGAAGGACCCTCCGCAAACATTGCCCGTTCTCTTTCTCGCCTCTGGAACTACTAGTTGACCCCCTTCCTGCGATATTTCCTTAAGTTCTTAAAATCATAATCATACCCCCACTGTTTTCATGGGGCAGGCAATGGGGGATTTGGGGGAGGAAGGGGATTGTATATACTGTATATATTCCTGCTTCTTTGCTTCCCAGCGCATCCTTTTTGTCTTCCTAGCCATGGGTGCGCTGTAGTTTTTGCCAGAAGGGGAGGGGAATGGATGGAGTGGGGCTTTCCGCAAACACAGCCTGGGCTGCTTTTTTCCGTCTTGTTTGAAAAGGCAATGTGTGTGTGTGTGTGTGTGTGTGTGTACGCGCGTGTTCACCTTGCAATGTTGGAAAGTGGTCAATAAGGCAAACAGCAGAGGGGCACTGCAGGCTGCCTTCCCCCAAACAGTTGGAAGGATGAGGATGCTCTCTCTCTCTCTCTCTCTCTCTCTCTCACACACACACACACACACACACAGACAGACAAACATCCTATCCAGTCTAATAACAAAGCGGACACTGGGTGGTACCCAGCTAAATCCTGCTCAGAGGAGACCCCTTGAAGGAAGCCCCTTGGATTCAGAGGGTCTCCCGCGAATACAGCTAATGTTGGCTTGCACCCTTTCTTCCTGGATGACTTGCTCTGGTTGTGTTGTTGGGTATCCCTCCCTCTCCCTCCACCTCCCCCAAATCTTACTATACAAGTTTTGTTGACGATCACCCACATGGAAAGGAGACGGGTGATGGGTATAGGTTAGAACACCAGGAATGCTGCGATTGGCTTTCCCCATGGACAATGTCTTATCTGTTGAACTCTGGAAGCTGTCCCAGTCTTAGCTGGAAATGACACCAGAACAGCCTAGCCGTGGACAAGGGATGGGTTTATTCATAGCGATCAGGGGATGCATAAAATCTGTAGCCCTTTGGAATCATGGGGAGAAGCATCCCTCCAGAGGAAGAATAAAGGCACGTGCCTTTATATTGCAGAAGAGGAAGGGGGAGGAAGGTTGGGCTTCTCCCTTCCACTAGTCATGTGCAATTGCAATTGCCCTCAGGTTGCAGAGAAGCATCATCATCACCATTATTTTTCCCCAGTTACATTTGTGAGAGCAAATAAGCTTTGCTCTGCAGTTGAATGACAGCCCCTTAAAAACACACAAAAAACGATGCTGCCTGGCTTGGGCTGGGAATTTGAAAAACCATTCCATCAGACCTTGAAAATGAGACTTGTCGAAAGCCATTAGTAAGAGATGAGTGAAGTCCAGTAGGCCTGGCGACTGCATGTGCTGTTCAGCACAAACCTGAAGCCATGGAGTGGAAGATTTGCATTGTGTGCCACCTCTGGATGACTTGATGCCTATCTGCTGATATAAAATACCCATTGTGGGCCTTCTGTGGTGTGTGTGGTCTCCACACTGCATGCCGGTGAATGCTTTACGGAGGCATTGAAGTGCCAAACAAGGAGTGTGGACTATTTTCGGGGCTTGAAAACAGCATTTTGTGTTTTGATGGATGTCAGAATTGCTCACATCAAAAGCATGTAATCTAGGGTGTTCAGCTTAAATATAGAAACAATCTTCAAACTGGCGATTGAGCTGAAACTTCAGATTGGTTTACTGGGGGAAACACGATTTAGGTATGGGGGCATGGGAAAAGCCATGAATTGTAAATACTGCACAAACATTTCTTGTAGAAAATGTGTGTTTGCAGTAGTGCTGATTTTATGAAAGCATTGAGTTCTTTTGCAGACCAGCAATTTGTAGAAACAGTTTTGATAAAAGTGACTATTGATGCCTTCTATGTTTAAGGTTAAAAAGGAGAGCAGCTCAGGATTGTCTTGATCGTACTCTCTCTAGTTGTGCTTTTAGGATCTCTTCATGTGTGTTGAGTCTTGGTATACTGAAAAAGAGTTTAGGGATTCCAACCTGGTGAGCATTTTATCAATAGCCTTAGCCGCTGGGTGAATGGACAGAAATTGTGCTCACAGCTTCTCAGATGCCTGTGTTGAGTTACATCTCTGTAAGATATATATATATATATGGAAGAAAGCCATCCTATTTTCCTTCCAATCAATGTGTTCCTTTAAAAGAAGAGTTAGAGGCAAAACTGGACTGGGACCCCCCCCCCTTTTTAGAAGATTAGTCGTTGGGCCACAAACATAAATTTCTTTTCTTTGGAGAAGTTCCACAGTGAGCTGGTGTGTTTGTCTTGTCTTGTTTTTAAAGTTATCTTTAGGTTTTTTTCCTGAACTGTTTGAAAAACTTTTTTATTTTTGCTCTTGTTAGCGACATATGTAAAAGGTGAAATGCTAATGAGCCCGATGATGATATTAATAATGTCAAGTGTGTTTCTGATCAGGAGCCCCTCCCCCTCAAAAAAAAAATGAAAGGAGAGGGGGGGAAGAGCTTAAATGCCCAGTAGAGCTGGTTGTCCTCACTTTCCTCACCTGTAAAATGCATAGCTGTCAACTTTTACCTTTTTAAAAGGGAAATTCTCTTATTCCGAATAGGATTCCTCGCAAGAAAAGGGAAAAGTTGACAGCTATGGTAAAATGGCACTTAATGTTCTCTATTTCACACAGTTCTTCAGGCAGCAAATCAATATTTTCTAAAAGTGTTGTGAATAAGAATAACAACAAAGTACAGGATTGCTCCAGAATAAGAGGTTTGAGAGCTAGGGCAGAACCAAATGTTCCAAAGTTACCTCTAGAAACTGTGCTAAGTCTCTTTTAGTAAACAACAACAAAACTCCAACCTAAAGAATTCTGTGGCACCTTGAAATCGATACAGTTATTTTAGCATGAGCTTTCAGGAGCTGCAGCCCATTTCATCAAACAAATTAAGTGGCCAGAAAGTCTTTTGCTTCCCGTTCCCCACCCCCAAAATATGGGAGAGGAGAGGGAGGGAGAGGAGGCCGAAAAACAAAGGAACTGCAACAAGTTAAGAACAGGCGTGACCTGATCTGTGCAGAACACCAGTGGATTCAAGATGCAGTCAGATCAGGTTTGTTTGTTTGTTTCAGCAAAACTCAAGGTCAGTATTGACATGCATGGAACAGTCTCCTAATGTTTCATTTCTAACTGAAAAGCAGTTACTATTGCAGGTTGCAAGCTTATGCAGAGGAATGATGGAGGGAGTGACTGCTTCACTGCATGTTTTTTTGGGGGGGGGTTACTAAAATTGCCTCCTCTCTGCTACTTTTGCACCCACAGGGGAAAATAGACTGGAATGCAGCTCTGCCCCCTCCCCACAAGTGAAAAACCAGCTTTTGCCATTTTGAGCAGAAAAGCCGGAGGATAAGTGCTAGATCCTTCCCACCTGCCACATCTGCATCCCAAGGGCAGCCTCCTGCAGCTGCATGTATTTGTTTATTTAACATTTCTCTTACAATGTCTAGTGTGGCCATTGGCAAAAAGTCTCCACGTCTATGTTAGTAAGCCACCTGTTTCGATGAGCCAAAATGAGACTGGAAGTGGGAGGTCAGGACAAACTTTTAGGACTGTTTCAAACCTTTGTGGTAGCGTTTTCTTGCTACACGGAGGTGATGGCAACGACTTTCCGTTCTGTACACAGGGGCTTTAGGGGGGTATCAAAAGAAGAAGAAGAAGAAGAAGAAGAAGAAGAAGAAGAAGAAGAAGAAGACGACTTAGGTGAAAACTATTTTTACATGGCAGCAGGGGAATACCAGTCTGAACATCGTGCCTTGAGGATCCTTCTGGATGCAAATGGTGAAATGGAATTCTAATACAAAAATAAGATTCTCTAAGACTAAAGTTTTCACTTTAACATAGCTCTCCTGGAATTTTCTGAACCGAAGTAGAGAAAATACATAGAATCATAGAAGTGTACATTGGAAGGGACCATGAGGATCATCCAGTCCACCCCCTGCAATGCAGGAAACCTAGATATATATGTAATTTGCAAGCTTTTTGAAGCAAAATGCCTTTCTCAAGTTTCTTACTGAATTCATGAATGCAAGTTTTCCAGAGTTTCCAAGAGAGACATCTCAGACGTCAAATGGATAGAGTTGAGAAAGAGTTTGCTTTTCTTCTTTCTTTCTTTCTTTCTTTCTTTCTTTCTTTCTTTAAGTCAGCAACGCTTATCAAATCACTTTCTTTTCCTGGGTGCAAATCTTCTCCCTTTAGAATTATTATACTGTTGCATGCCGCCCCAATCTCTGAGCAGTGCGAGATCCCAGGCGCTAAACCAGAGTTTGTGTTTCCTTTTGCAATGAGACACAGCGGAGACTGTGGTGTCCTTATGATACATGGTTTATTTACACATATGTACAATGGGATTCAAACAGAAATCAAACCGGCCTCAGATGTTGCTCTGACTCTCTCACATCACTGCGAACTCTCAACTCTCAACTCAGACTTTGTCCTTCTAACTCTCTCTGAGTTGAGGGAGGGGCCACACCCACTTCCCATCTCGCACAGAGCCCCCTTTGCTTTGTTCTCTTAATTGCCCTTCATTTCAGCATAGGGGGATAGCCTGGCTTCAGTGCAACCAAGTGAAGATACCTGGGAGCCAGAATGGCCCCTGACATCTCCACCATTTCAAGGTGCATGCCTGGAGATTGTTGGATCTGGACTGTTTTTGTACACTAATGCCCCATCCTGTGTAATTCTATCAATTGTATTTTATCTGGAAAACTGGAATGGATTTCTGGAACCAAAATGCTTTCTTTCTGTGCAGTCTGAGCAGGAAAAGTCACCATTAAGAAAAAGAGGTTGGAATGGGCCAATATTCCAACTACCCCTGGATCAAGAGACTTTTCTCCTTTAAGTCCTCAAAGCTCTCAACCTAGCTCAAGGTTATAATCTGAACTAACCATATGTTGAACTGAGAATCAATCACAGTCAGTCCATCATCTGAAAAATAAGACTTTAGAGCCATTTTGTCTCAAAATGGCAGCTAGACATTCCGTTTTGGTGACTGTAACCTGGGTTTAAGGAGCCCTTTGGCTCCTTAAATTATATATCTGAGTTTC